CTGGAGCTGACGTGTACGCGGTAGATATCGCAATAGTGGAGGAAGCAGCACAGCCAAGCGATTTTCAAAAGCTACTGGCAGCAGTACCACCCGAACTACAGGAACTATTGCAACGATTCTCTGGGATTTTTCCCGACTACTTACCGGAAGGGCTGCCACCTCAGCGGGCTCACAACCACCTAATAGAACTAGAACCCGGGGCACAGCCAACCGTACAGCGACAGTTCAGACTGACACAGCCCGAGCTCGACGAGTTAAGGAAGCAGTTAGATTACCTGTTAGCGAAAAAAATTATCCGACCAAGTTCGTCCCCATTCGCCGCACCGATCCTGTTCACACCGAAAAAAGGACAGAGGATTTCGCATGTGCATCGACTACAAAGCACTGAACAGGGTTGCAGTCAAATCGCGATACCCCATCCCCCGCGCCGACAAACTGATAGATCAACTGCGAACAGCACGGGTCTTTTCGAAAATCGATTTACGGGGAGGTTACCATTAGATTAGGGTCGAACCATCGGACTGTGCCAAGACAGCATTTAGGACTAGGTACAGGTCGTTCGAATACACAGTAATGCCTTTCGGGCTGACCAACGCGCCGGCGACTTTCCAAATGACAATGAATGAGGCGTTTAGACCACTCTTAGATAAATGTGTGATCATCTACCTCGACGACATCCTAGTCTACAGTCGAGATAAGCAACAGCACTTAGCCGATTTAGAAGCAGTATTTACAGTTTTAGACAAGCACAGACTACTGACCAAGGGTTCCAAGTGCGAGTTTTTTCAGGATAGGCTAGAGTTTTGGGGGCACGTTATTTCTGAGGCTGGAGTCGAAATCGACCCGAAGAAACTAGACACGGTGAAAGCGTGGAATCCACCTACAAACATCACGGAGCTGCAGAGTTTCTTAGGGTTTGTTAATTACGTGCGTCGGTTCGTCCCCAACATGGCACGCTTAACCGCCCCACTGACGAATTTACTGCGGAAGGGGGTCACTTTTACGTGGGGGGAGAAAGAGCATGCTGCCTTCTCTACCCTGAAAAAGGTTCTCTGTTCACCGCCCGTACTGCACATCGCCGACCCACACCGCCCATTCGAAGTGGTTACCGATGCAAGCAACATTGCCATTGGAGCCGTACTGCTACAGGACTTCGGAGACTTCGGCGACGGGTTACAGCCCATCGCATACGAATCACGAAAGTTGCATCCACCCGAAAAAATTACCCGATACACGATCGCGAGATGCTTGCGATCGTGCATGCGTTCAAAGTGTGGCGTTGTTACTTGACCGGCGCCGACGTGACCATACGGACAGACCACAAATCTCTACAGTACCTCCGCGCACAACCCCACCTCAACCCACGACAAATCCGCTGGCTCAACTACCTCGAGTCCAATTTTCACTACACGGTCACCTACAAAAAAGGGGCATCGAACATCGCCGACGCATTAACCCGACCCACAGCCCAAGTCCACGCCATACTGTCAGAATGTTATATTTGTCTAGCCTGTAGTGGGGTACTCAATATTGAGTACAGCCCAACCTAGGGTTTCCTATATGTACTCAACTGCCTGCTAGTGCAAACCCCTCTTTCTCGTTTCTAACTTTCAACTGTTATTCCAACATGGAATCAGAGCAAGTCGACCCTCACGGGTCGATCCTGTGGATGGGCCCACCTAAGCTTCCGCTGTCAACACTTCCTATCGCGCGCCTCGGGCGCGCGCTATCTTTCTGCCTGCCGCGCGCCCATGGCGCGCGGCCTTTTTTCTTCCCACCGCGCGCTAGGGGCGCGCGGCGGTTTTCTGCTCGTCGCGCTGCCCCTGATCTGCCCGTCGTGCGCCCCGTGGCGCGCGACGGTGCCCTGCCCGTCGCGCGCCTCGGGGCGCACGGCGGTTTCGTCGCCTCGGGGGGCTCGTGCGCGGCCCCCTCGTCGCCCGTCGTGGCGCCATTGGGGGCCCGCGCGCCCCCCCCCTTCCGTCGCCCGACGTGGCGCCCTTGGGGGCCCGCGCGCGCGGTTCCCCCCAGGGCGCCGCGACGGGCGACGGGAGGGGCGACAGAAGGGGGCCACGCGTCGGCCCCTCCAGTCTTCGTCGCGGCCCTGCCCGGCCCTGCTTTGCCCGGCCCTACTGTCCGTCCCCGGCCCTGTCCCGGCCCTGCCCTGCCCGGCCCTGCCCCCGTCTTCGTCGCGACCCTACCCTGTGTTGGGGTTTGGGGGTGGCGCGCATGGGGGTGAAAGCTGGGTGGCGGGTGTGTGGCATCCCCTGCTCCTCCTCCTACTCCGTCTCCCACTGCTGCAGCTGCCGCTGAGGGGGGTGAGTGTGTGTGAGTCGACGGAGTGGTGCTAGGGGGTGGAGTGTGAGTGAACCTAGGGGTGCAGCAGGGGGTGTGTGAAAGGGGGATGCGACAGTGGGGGAGGTTGAAGGGAGTTAGCCGTCGTGTCGTCAGCAGCGCCTGTAGTCCGGAGGTGCGCCTCCGGTAGCCCAGCGAGCCTGCTGCGCCAGTCGCCCGTGGGTCCGTTGCTCCTGCCGCTCGTCTTAGCCGCGGAGCCAATTACTCCTGTAGTCCGGAGGTGCGCCTCCGGTAGCCACAGTGCGCGCGCTCCTGTTGTCCGTGTGTCTGCAGCTTCAGCCGTTGCCTCCTCTCTCCTTTCCTATCAGTCTAGCCTCCTCCTCCTCACTCGCCCTCTGTGACAGCCTCTAGCTTTACTTATTGCTGTGAACTATAAACTGTTGCTTCTTGTACTTGTGTGGTGACATTGTGATCCCTCCTGAGCTTGTTTTTGCTTTGCTTTGCTTGTTGTGCTGATTACACCCCACTTTGGCTATGGGAGTGTGTCAGAATGTTATATTTGTCTAGCCTGCAGTGGGGTACTCAATAGTGAGTACAGCCCAACCTAGGGTTTCCTATATGTACTCAACTGCCTGCTAGTGCAAACCCCTCTTTCTCGTTTCTAACTTTCAACTGTTATTCCAACACATACTACTCGCCCAGACCAGCCCACTGCTGACAGGCCTATTTACCCACGGTTATCAGACTGACCCATTTTTCACAGGCGGAAATTCGCAGCAGTTTGCAGCAGCAAGAGGAGTCTATTACGTTAAAGCCGGCACTGATCGCATGTGGGTACCGGGCTACACACTTGTACGGGAATTACTATTGCAAGAGGCACACGACGGAGTCACCTCAGGCCATTTTGGAGTAGAAAAAACACGGCAGCAGCTGCAGCGGTACTACTATTGGCCCGAAATGTTGACCGACGTGCAACGACACTTGGCATCGTGTCCTACCTGCCAAGTCATGAAATCATCACGGAAGCGACCGGCAGGACAGTTGCAGCCGATACCACCCCCAGAGCGTGCCTGGCAGCAGGTGACGATGGACTTCGTCACGGGGTTACCGGCCGGAGCAAGTGGGAACGACGCGATCCTGGTCGTCGTCGATCGATTGACGAAAATGGCACATTTCGCAGCATGCAAAAAATCAATCACAGCCGAAGAAACGGCCCGCCTCTTCATCGCAACCATTGTTCGATTACACACAATCATCAGCGACCGCGATACGAAATTTACCAGCAATTTCTGGCGGAACCTGTGGCAGCAGTTCGGCACGAGGTTACAGTTCAGCTCTTCGTACCACCCCGAAACCGACGGACAGACAGAACGGACAAATCAGACCATAGAACAGTTAATACGAGCCACGTGCGACGACCCCACCACCTGGGAACAGCAACTGCCACTAATCGAATTCGCGTACAACAACTCGCCATCCGCCACGACCCAACAGTCACCATTTTACCTGAACTACGGACAAGACCCTACAGTACCCATGACTCCGAATCCCGACAACCCGGTGCCACGGGCGCAACAATTCGCAGAAGTACTACAGGAGGCACGAACCAGGGCAGCAGACGCAATTAAAAAAGCCAACGTCATCGCTAAGCGCAACGCCGATCGCCACCGCAGACCCGTCACTTACCAGCCCGACGACTTAGTTCTACTCGACACCCAAAACCTCCGCCTGCCCATAACTCCGAAACTCCGCCCCCGATATTGTGGGCCATTTCGCATCAGCCACATGATTACACCCGTCACCGTCCACCTCCTCCTCCCTGCTGACTGGTACATCAGCCCGTCCTTCCACGTCAGCCTGCTTCGCCCCTACATTCCATCCACCAGCCAACTGGCCCGAACTCGCCCAGCCAGCATGACACGACCACAGACGGAACCAATCATCACGCCCGAGAAGATTCTGAGTCACCGAGTTCGCGATCCACGAGGAGCACAAAGGGCCGAATTCTTGATCCGCTGGAGAGATCGCACGCCCACCGAGGACAATTGGGTCCCCGTGGGCAACATCGAAACCCACCCCGTCCTCAACGAGTACCTGCGCAGCCGAAATTTCCGAGATATACACGCGCTCTCGTAAAGGAGGGAGGGGGGGGGGGGTTTAGTGTAAGGAAAATCCATTTTCCTTACTTCGCGTCCCTGCTCAGCGTGTACACCACTGTTCCCGCCAACAGCACCCCACAATATTCCGTTACCACTCGCGACATTCGCCTCGACACCATTCCCGCCACTGTACACGATTCGACCCAACCTCACGGTTCGGTTGGTAACCCGCGCTCCGGACCTCCGCCTCGATAGTCCCCAACCTCGGCACCAGGCCCGTCGCGCACCCCAATTTCCCACGTTACCGTTACCACCATAGCTTCGCTATATATTCTTCGCTCATTGGATTCTTTGTCTCGATAGTGCAATCTTCGCTTGATCACTCAATTGCACTTGTCATAGGTGTACATACTGGTAGTGCCGCATATGAGCAGTCTTGTTTCCATACATGGAGCATGAATGCACTAGAAGCCGATGATGTATTCCTAACAGTGGCACGAGATGAGCTGGCATCCCATGCTAGATGAATCAGGCGAATATTTCCCTTCCAGAACTACCATAGGGAAAAAATCCACATTGTTCTTTTTGCCCCCACAAACTAATCAGTCCTTAAATAGGTAGTAGAGCCTCATAAGCAGCTACATCTTTCTTTGCCTTGGCCTCCTGCTCCCAAACAATATGTGTCTTTGCATCCTTCTTGTACTCCCCAGCTGCAGCTTCAACACCAACCTCAAACTCATGCTGAGCTGTCTTCATACTCTGGAGCAACTCCTCCTCAGCCTTCTTCACTGTACCAAGAAACTTCTGGTATGCTGCTGAAAGACTCTTCCTCCTCTTCAGAGCCTGCTCCGCAATCTCTGTCACATACCTCTCGATCTCCTTTTCAAAATCCTCGCTCTTGTCAATCTCCTTCCTCAGCTGCGCCAGGAATTCGTCCTCCTGGAAATCCAACTCCGCTTTCACTTTCCGCGCGGGCTTGTCCGTACTCGCAAGGTACGCCGTCGTCGCCTTGTCTAGAAACACTTCCATCTCCTCAAGCGGCTCGGAGTTTTGCATGCTGGCTATCGAGCCCTCAATCACGTTCTCATGGAGCTCGAATATTTGAGCCGCTTTCTTCTGCCGCATTCTGAGTGCGTCAGCGAGCTTTTGCTCGTAGACAGTCTTGGCTTCTGTTATCTTGCTGGCCGCCATCTTTTGGGTCATATTAAGCCGCTCCCACTGCAGTGGGTTGGGCGGTTGAGAGACGGGGGTGATGGGGGAGATGGGCGATAGTAGACATGATTGCTGCGAGATGTGATTGACGGGAGATGTGCTTAATGGGAGTTGTGAATGAAGAGAGATGTGATTAATCGGAGATGCGAATGAAGAGAGATGTGATTAATCGGATATGTGCATGAAGAGAGATGTGATTAATGGGGATGTGATTGATGGGAGACATGGTTTATGGGAGATGTGACAATGGAAGATACAGCCCACCAATAGAATGGCCAGTTGTGGTGAGAAGGAACAGCGCATGGTAAGGTACATGTAACATGCCCATTCCGAGCTGTGGGTCCACTGATGCTCTTCATTTGGAGTTGGATACATACCATGGGCGCTGGCATGACCAATGATTTTGGATCAATGGAGTTGACACATGAAAAATGAAGAAGATTAGTTTATTGTGGGTGAGGGATAGAAAACACAAAAAGAAGAAGGGCTTACTACTGCTGGAAACTTTAGCTTGACCTCGAGGACACCTTGCTGCCTGCAAATCCAAGGAGAATCAACCATAAGTTAACAAACTTTAAAACAGCAGCTTCTGCCACCTTGCAATGGAGCTAAGAAACAAAACACAGGAGAGGAACAACAAGAAGCTGGTCCTGGAGGCACTAATGAGGAGAGTGGACTCAGGAGTCAACAACACCACGCAACTGTCTTCAACCCATTGTAGCAAAGGAATGTAAAGCAAAGAGAGTGCTTGGCTCCTACTTCCCATCTGGCGTCTCCAGCAGCACAGACTCCACTGCCTTGCCCAACTCCCGTGCCCTTGAGAAGTCTACCCTGTCGCACCCACACAGAAACAAGGAAGGCGTTTTGGTTCGATTAAGAGTAAGAAGCAAAGCAGTTGGCGGGGAAGAGTAGCTGCAACCAGACGCATGGCTTGAAGGGCTTGATCTAGGGTTCCAGTGACCGACGAACGACAAAGATTGCTGTTCTCACCTTATCAGTGACGTTAGACTGTACATGTTACACATGAGACGTCACATGTTACAGCATGCAACAACACGCACAGATACTTCTGCTTAGTCCTGGTTTTAATGCGCTTAACCATCACCAAGGTGCACCTCGATCACGATGAACCACTCTTGCATCACCACAGGCCGTCTCACATTACATGGCGATTGCAAGCTGTCTCCCATTACACACCGCTGAAACAAGAATCAGGCCACTCCAGAAAATCCTCGTCTCTCAAACAGCTACCCCTCCGCAGCTCAGCAAAAAAAAACCAAAACCCATCACAGAACAAGCGCAAGGCGCATTGCCAGCCAGCAATCTCTTGTGTGCATACTGACTTGCCAGTGCCAATGAGCTCGCCATTGGATAGAACCCTCTCGTGCAGCACGGTGAGTGTGATGACGGGGCTTTCACCGACCGCAAAGGAGAATGTCTCGTTCCACTTGGGGCTTGTGCCGCCGTCTGTTGAGCGCGGAAGAGGAAGGGGGTAGGGGAGGGGGAAGGGAGCGAAGGGGGGTTGGGTTGGAGGAGGGGGGGAGAAGGGAGGGGGTTGTTTGGGGAACGGGAAGGGGGGGGGGGGAGATTGATGCAACGGATAGTGGAAACGTGGACGTGCGAAGAAAAACACACTGGAAACCGTGTGTCAAGTAAAAAAATATGCGCGTACGGAGCTGTACTGGGAAAGGATGATAGGGAAGAAATGCTTGCCATCTGTTCACGTGGTAACCAAGGTGACGTCAGGGTGATACACTACCATCTGCACATGCATTGCCAGGCAAAGTTCATTTTCACCTTCCAGGGCCGCATTTCAAGCGTTATTAAAGTATTCAAATAACAGCTTCCGAAGACCGCATTTCCTCATTGCCTGCCGCTCTTTTCCCCATCTCTTGAAAAGAAACGACCCACGTAATCAGCAACCCTTTTGAGGTAAAACGATGTTTGCGACGCCTCGAAAATGCACCGTGCCATTATTGACCTAATCACTAACCTAGCCAGTCTATATTCGCGGCTTCCACGGTGCCACACTCGTCCAGAGTCTCAGTTTCCCTGCTCCCCAACTCGCGAACTTACTGGTGTCGGTCTTGGTGCGAAGGTCGATATCGTTGTATTTAATAGTCGCATACGGGTCCTGAATACTTCCAATTTTCCATATCTGCACGTCTGGCAGACCGCTTGCCCGAATGACTGTCGGAAGGAGCAACGGGGAGACAGCAGATCACTGGAATCAATGCGTCTGGGCCGGTTCACGTGATAGTGAGGAAGATGCAATGCGAATGGGAAAAAAAAATTGTTATCATTTTTCTCTTGTCGTCTACTTCTTCTAAATGCTTACTGGTCAATTCGAGTTTGTTATCATCCATTCGCACGAGTGCTCGGTGACAGCAACAGCACGGAAAGCTGCCACGAGTTGCTACTATTTCAGGGAACTGCCGGTCTGCTTCAGACAGTCAACGGACCTCTAATCAAAAAGTGATCTGACTTGTGGAGGGTGTCAGGTTTGATGCCAAATTGGTTGCGATGGAAAGCGAATTTCCCATACCGGAAACCAGCTTGCGACGATGTTATGCGATGTCTCACTCGTCCGCGTGTGGTTCTAATGAATATTCAGGGAGTGTTGTAAGTGTTGATCCGCCTTACATACCGGACCGGACCACACACCTAGGATCAAGGGTGGACCAGAGATGAACCAGACTCGATAGGGGTAGTCTCAGATGCATTTAGGACGTGTCTCAAATGCTCGAGTCCACGTGGGTCCGATCCAGACCGGACGGACCAGCTCGAGAACCAGCGCGTCAACCAGTGGCGGGCGGGACCAGAATGAGTCTACAAAGTTGCCTTCAATTTGAGGAAATGACGGACCGCCGTGTTTGCGCGTTTTCGGTTCCTTTCGGCAGTGGCTTTGACAGCGACTCCCTTCGCGCTCGCGCCCAATTCCCGCGGGCAGTTTTTATTGCAATTTCCCATTTTTCGTGACCAGGCGTATAGAAGGGAAAATACCTGGTTTCAGTATTGAGGCCATTGGCAAAACTAAAACCCACTCGGATGAAAAGCCATTTGGGAGGCATCAACCCTAAACACCTTGCCTCGCGGTGGTTAGGGTTGATGCCCTTTTACGTGGCTTACCATCCATGAGGGTTTTTTTTTTTCCCGAGCTGCGCATTTGCTATGGACTCGACGATAAATCTGGAATATCCCGTAACATAGAAACAATATGTATTTGTGGACTCAAAAGGGGAAGCTGAGAAATAATATGCCCCAATGTATTGGACGCGAGCGCGGAGCGATGTGCTGTCAAAACCACTGCCCATTGGATTTGGAAACTAGAAAATACGGCGCTCCGTAATTTCCTCCTCCAATTTGGTGACCAGACCAGTCTGCGCAGGGTCCGTAAACAGTGATTTCTCAAACTCCCTAGCCAATCTTGATTTGTACTTGTTACGAGTACAATAAAGCGAGCGAGCGAGAATTGCATGTCAAACTTATATGCTATAGTCTATCTAGGCTGTAGTGGGGTAGTTCATACATGGTACAACACCTTTAGGTTTCCTACTTGTACCCACCTCCTTGCTAGTTCAGTCATTCATTCCTTCACCATTCTGACATGGTATTATGAGCAAGTTTCCTAGTGGGAACGTTTTTTAGGGCCCACCACGATTTTTTTTTCCTGCCCTGCACGAAGCGCGCCTCGCGCCTGTCTCACCTGCGCCGTCGCGCGCCCTGATCTAGTGCCGCCTGTCGCGGCCCTGCCTTTTCGGCCCGTAGTGGCCTTGCCTTTTCGGCCCGTCGCGGCCCGGCCTTCTCTACCCGTCGCCGCCAGTCGCCGGCCTGTCGCCGCATATCGCCCGCCCGTCCCGGCCCGTCGCCGCCCGTCGCTGGCCCGTCGCGGCCCTGCCTTAGCCGCCCGTCGCTGGCCCATCCCGGCCCGTCCCGGCCAGTCGCCGGCTTGTCCCGGTCCGTCGTCGCCCGTCGCCGGCCCGTTGCCGCCCGTCGCTGACCCTTCGCCGCCCACTGCGGCCCTGCCCTACTGCCGCCCTGTCGCGGCCCTGCCCTGCTGCCGCCCTGTCGCAGCCCTGCCCTGCAGCCGCCCTGTCGCGGCCCTGCCCTGCTGCCGCCCCAGTCGCGGCCCTGACCTAACCGCCAGCTACGGCCCTGCCCTACACCAGTCCCTGGTAAGCACCCGCGACGCCCTGCCGCGCCGCGCCGCCAGGAGCTGAGCCGCGCCGCCCAGCCGAGCCGCGCCGCCCAGCCGAGCCGCGCCGCCCAGCCAAGCCGTGCCGCCCTGCCGAGCCGCGCCGCCCTACCGAGCCGCGCCGCCCTCCGAGCCGCGCCGCCCTACTGAGCCGCACTGCCCTGCCTGCGCTGCTCCTGCTACTACTGCTGCTTCTGCTGCCACCGCTGCTACTGCTGCTCCTACTGCTACTGCCGCTATGGCTAGCCCTACTGTTCTTACCTGGCTGACCCCTCTGGGGGCCCAGTCTTTGCGCACTCCTCCACGGTTCTACCGTGTCCTGCGGCCCCGTCGGGCTTGCTGTCGGGACTCCACCTCCCCTCGTTCTCTACGAACTTGGTGAGTGGAGCTGACCTCCAGGACGCGTGGGTTGACCAGTTCACCCCTGGAGGTCAGCGTGTGACCCACTGCACTTGCTCTCGGACGGGCCGCCACCTGGCCACGTTCACCCGTCGGCCTGGGTCGAGTCTGTACACAATGACTACTGCGTCTCCTCCGGGTACTGCGTCTGGTCAGGTATCCACGTCTGGTCAGGTGTTTTGTGCCGCGCCCAGGTCTAGTCCGTTGTCGGCCCCCTACTCGTGTCGTCCTCTGTCACACGACACTCTCCTTTGGCACCACCGTCTTGGTCACCCCTCCCTGCCTCGTCTTCGAGGTATGGCCTCCCGTACCCTTATCTCTGGTCTCCCCCGGTCCCTCCCTCCCCTTCCTCCGGGGCCTGCCCCTACCTGTGTTCCTTGTCTCGAGGGCCGGCAGTGCGCCACTCCTCACTCCTCCGAGTTCCCTCCGACTGAGGCTCCCCTGCAGACTCTTCACACGGACGTGTGGGGCCCAGCCCGCGTCCGTGGACAGGGTCACGAGCGTTACTTCCTGCTGGTCGTTGACGACTACTCGCGTTACACCACAGTCTTCCCCTTGCGCCGCAAGGGTGAGGTCACTGAGGTGTTGATCGACTGGATCCGCGGTGCCCGTCGCCAACTCAGCGAGAGTTTCGGCTCGGACCTTCCTGTTCTACGTCTGCACTCAGACAGAGGTGGTGAGTTTTCCTCCGACCTTCTGAGGGCCTTCTGTCGTGTGGAAGGCATCCGCCAGACGTTCACGCTTCCGGCCTCCCCACAGCAAAATGGGATTGCTGAGCGCCGCATTGGCATGGTCATGGACGTCGCTCGTACGTCCATGATCCAAGCGGCTGCTCCCCATTTTCTGTGGCCGTTCGCGGTTCAGTACGCTGCGCATCAGATCAACCTTCAGCCTCGTGTCTCCTTGCCGGAGACCACACCTACTCTGCGGTGGACGGGGAAGGTTGGCGATGCGTCTGTGTTCCGTGTCTGGGGATCTCGAGCTTTTGTCCACGATACTTCCGCGGACAAGCTGTCCTCCCGTGCCGTTCCCTGCGTCTTCCTTGGCTTCCCCCCTGACGCACCTGGGTGGCAGTTTTACCACCCCACCTCGCGTCGTGTTCTGTCCTCTCAGGACGTCACGTTTGACGAGTCGGTATCTTACTACCGTCTCTTTCCCTACCGCACTGCCTCTCTCCCCCCCTCGCCACTCTTCCTAGCACCAGGTGCTCCTCCGGTAGACCCCCTCACCCCTCAGGGTCCTGCCCCCTCAGGTGTGTCCCAGGTAGACCCTGTCGAGCCTGTCGAGGTAGCTGTCGACTCTGGTGCTGCTAGGGGTGCTGAGCCTGCGGGTGCGGGGCCTGGGGGTGCTGAGTCGGAGGTTGCTGAGTCTGAGGGTGCGGAGCCTGGGGGTGCTGAGCCTGAGCGTGTGGAGAATGGGGGTGCTGAGCCTGGGGGTGCTGAGTCTGGGGGTGCTGAGCCTGGGGGTGCTGAGCCTGAGCGTGCTGAGTCTGGAGGTCCTCCGGGTGTCCCGTCACGGCGGGAGCCCCTCTCTCCGCAGCGGCTCCGTTAGTGGTATGCTCGGCGCTGTCGCCGTGCTCCTGGAGCTACTCGGCCTACTGCTGGAGCTGGAGCTGCTAGAGGTGCTGCTGGTGCTGGAGCTGCTGGAGGTGCTCCTGGAGCTGGAGTTGCTGGAGGTGCAGCTGGTGCTGCAGCTGCTGGAGGTACTTCTGGAGCTGCTGGAGGTGCTGCTGGTGCTGGAGCTGCTGGAGCAGCTGGTCCTGGAGGTACTGGCACTGTTGGAGGTCCTGCTGGTGTTGGAGCTGCTGGAGGTGCTGGAGCAGCTGGTCCCAGAGGTGCTCGTCCTGGAGGTACTGGAGCTGCTGGGGCTGGTGGTGCTGCAGGAGTTGGAGCTGTAGGTGCTGGAGCTGTTGCTACTGGAGGTGCTGCTGGAGCTGGAGCTGTTGGAGGTGCTGGAGCTGGTGGTGCTGTGGGAGTTGTAGCTGGAGACCCTGGAGCTGAGGGTGCTGGTGCTTTCTCTGCTGTTTCTGGAGGCGCTGCGCGGCCGCGGCCGTACTACGTTCCACTCCTTCAGCAGGTTCTTGGTCTCCCGCCTTCTACTGGTCCTACTCCTCCTTTACTGAGTCCATCGCCTGTCCAGTCACCGTCGCAGTTACAGTCAGCCTCTCCACTGCATGGTCCTTCTCCTTACTCTGGACCGACTAGAGGTCTTACGGAGCGTCGTGAGCCTGAGTCTCGTCCTGCGTCGCCTGAGTCTCGTCCTGAGTCGCCTGTTAGCCCTGTGCGCACTGGTAGTCGTGTTCCGCGTCAGCGTCCTCCTCATGTCCCCGGCACTCACTCTATGACTCTGCGTCCTTCCACTGCTCCACAGCGTGTCCCTCTGCCGTCTCCTCCTGCGTCCTCTCTTCCTGCAATTACTGACCTGGAGTCTGACTCCCTTCGTGCTGCTAGTCCTACTGTCACGCGTCTCCTGGCCACTGTTGTCACTGACCCTTCCTTTGAGTCCACTGCTGCGTCTGCCTTGGTTGCTGAGCTTGTCGCCTTTGCTGCTCACTGTCGTCTAGACTACGCCGCTAGTCTTGTTGCTGAGTTCGATTCTGCGTCTGTCTGTCCTCCGTCTGTCGAGGGTGTGTGCTCTTGGCACGGACGTCCTTGAGGACAGACAAGAGGAGTTTGAGTGCTTTGCCGCTGCTTTACCTCATCTCGTGTCCATGCTGCTTGCCCCTGAGGGAGACCCGGATGCACCAGACATCCCGACCCCGCGCTCTTACGC